TCGGTGCCGCAGCACCGGGCCGCCGAGCCCCCGCGAGCTGGCACCTACCGGGAATCGTTGTAGACCCGCCAGCCAGCCTGGTCCCTGCAGAAGGCGGTGTAGTGCCCGTAGTGCACACTGCCCGAGTGGTTGCACAGCGCGTACAGGCTGTACCCGGGGCTGCCCGTGTGGGAGGGAGGCAGACATCCACCAGCACCTTCCCAAACCCCGGGAGCGCCAGTGAGGGAGCCCGGCCTCATCCACGCCCTGTTCCCGCTCTGTGCGGGCCCTGGCAGTCCTGGCACTGCCTTACCTGCCTTCTCGCTAGCGAATTCCCTCAGGTTGAGCTGCTGCAGGGGGAAGTCCACGAAAACGGAGCATTTCTTGATGGAATAGCGGGTGGTGGAGAACCTGTTCAGGTCTGGGCGGCCCGAGGTTAAGGGAAGCGCTGGACCGGGAAGGGCTGGAGTAGAGCCCAGAGTGGCAGGGGGGGGGCGGGGCACGGGCTTCCCCCGCCCCAGGCCATGTGCCACCTCCCCATGGAGGGACAGGCAAGGGCAGTGTCACCCTGGCTCCTGGTAGCCTGTGACTCAGGGACCGTGCCAGGCCGCAGTGATGATGTGCTCTCCCTGCCTCCACTCTCCAAATGCGTCCCCTGCCCATTGGCCTGGTGGCACCGGGGGAATGGAGCTCCTGAGCCCCAGCAGCGATGCTCTGGGGGGTCCCACATGGGTCGAGAGCCCACGGGCAGAGCCTGGTGCAAACAGGCGCCTCCCACCCCCCGGCCCTGCCAGCAAGGATACGAAGCACCAGGATGCGGGGGAAGCGCTGGATGGTGAGTTTTTTCGTGCTCCGAGTCCTCTGCCGGCACTTGTCGCAGACCTGCTCGAGACAGGGCGCTGGTGAGAGCGGCCGAGGCAGCACGAGCAGCCCCATGGCCAGCCCCGGCCCTGCCCTCGCAGCCTGCCCTGCCCAGGCCCAAGCATTGGCCTCTTACCGGGGCATTTTCCGAGTCCAGCTCCTCCTCCTTGGTGAAAAGGCTGAAGCAGTCGTGGAGAGAGACCTTCCCGCCAGCAAAGCCTTTCTGCAGAGGGGACAGGGACAGGGCTCAGCCACAGATGCGCGCAAGGAGCACGGGGACAGTGCGGTGGCCAGGGAAGGCACGGGGGAAGGCCACCCTGCTCTCTCCTCCATCCCTACCTTTGGGATGGGCAGGGAGAGATCACAAAACACTTCAAAGGTGGTGGGGCGGTAGCCACAGGCCTGACACTTGAGGCAGCTCTTCAGCTGTCCCACGAAAAGATCTGGGAGGAGAAAGGCAGGCGTGAGGCCAGGCAGAGCAGTGCCACCTGGGAGGGCACCCAGAGGGGCCCACCGGCTGCCTTTGGGTGCCAGACTTGCATCACCCTTTCCCAGGCCAGCACAGAGCCTTGCTCACCCACGATTTTGCTGTCCTCCCTCTCCAGGTATCGCTTCCACATCTGGTTGGCGCGTTCGTCATCGCTACAGGGAAAGGCAAAGGGTTCGTCTGGGCGACACAGGAAATGGGGCCAGGCAGGAGCTTGGAGAGCAGGTAGCTCTACCCTGGCTCGGCCGGGTGCAAGCCCAAGGCAGGGGATGGCTGGGGATCCATCCATCGAGCCCCTAAACAGGCTCCAGGGACGGGCTGCTGCGGATCCCTCCCACAACAGCTCCCACATGCCCTTGGCAGCATCCCTCTCTGTCCCTGGCCTCCCTGCCATGGTGTGGAGCGTGGACCTGCCGGGGACACGCCTCCTCACCTCAGCAGCTCCGAGTCCTCCAGCACAGAGGGCCGCTTGGTATCTGCGAGGATGCTGGGTGTCTTGCGGCCCTTCCGGTTGATCTCCACGTGCAGCCTGTCCATGAAGAACTTGAGGAACTCCTGCGCATCCTGCTGGCTGCAGATGGCACGTGCCCATCAGCACCCGTGGGTGCCCTCATCCTCCACCAGCACCAGGGTTCACCCCACACCCTGAACACGGCCATCCCCAGCCAAGCATATGCCCCACAATGGCATGAGCCCTCCTGGAGGGCACAGAGCTTGATGTCCATCTCCTTATGGCTCTGCTAGGCCCTGGTGTCCCCTCCCAGCATTCACCACACCGCTATGCCCAGGGAGGAGGGATGAATGTCCCAGGTGATGCATCCCTCTCCCCAGAACAGCCAGGACAGCAGCAGGGTCAGACCTTACCTGTAGCCTGTGAAGGATGGGACGTATTTCTGAAAGATGGCCTTGAAGCGCCCAGGGTTCACAGGCTCTGTGGAGTCCGGGTGCCACAGGGCAGTGATGACGTCCGCGAAGGCTGTGGGGAGAGGGGCCGAGCTCAGGCATTAGCACTGTTTCACCCCTTTGCTGGGGTCGGTCTCATCTGGCCCCCATCCCGAGAGGGAAGCAGGAGATGTAGGGCATGAAGCTGGGCACCCTCCTCGCAGCAGGGACAAGGCCCTCCTGCTGTGGTCACCCAGGGCAGGTGGGAAGGGCTCCTGGCTGGGCTCGACATGGTGCTGCTCGAGGCTAGTGAGCTCTGGGTTTATGTAAGAGCGGGCCCAGGAGGCCGGGCACAGCAGGGCATTTATATAACAGGTCACGGGGGAGGATTAGCTCCCGCCAGGACTAGAAAGAGGCCTCCTGGCTGCAGGGCACCCGGCTGGGTGCAGCACCTGGCTCCCTACCTTCGGTGAGCTCCTGCTGGGCCCGGGGGACACCAGGCTGCTCCTGGTGAAACTCCTTGCGCAGGCAGTAGTCTCGCAACGGCTTGGTGCTGCTCAAGCACTGCAGCACGGCGTTCATGAAGCACTGCGGAGAGAGCACCAAGGGCACACTCGCACCACCCACGGCCTTCCCGGGCAGCTGGTGTGGCTGCAACAAGCCACCAGGTCTCAGTGTCCCCCTTTGGCCCTGTCCCCTTGCACCCACGGCCGCCACACGCAGGTCTCCCCAAGGCCCTAGGGCTCACGCTGTCCTGCAGAGGCCCTGCAGACGGAAGGGTTAAGCCCGGCAGACATGGCAGCCCCATAGGGTGCTGCAGAGGGGAGGGAAGCGCTTGGTTACGACCACTCCGGGCCCAAGACCAGGGAGAACTCCCAGGCTTGCGGGAACCACGTGAGCACCTACCTTAACTGGGAACCCCAGGGGACTTATATAAGAACTAGGAAGGGAGCAGCTGTGCTGCACAGGATGGGGCTGAGCACCCACCCTGTTCCCATTTACTCTTGCTGGCACAGAGGGGACGCGAGAGCCCGTCACTTGCTGTGGACACGGGGACGCCAGCGCAGGGACACAGGATGTGGGGGATGTGAGGTGAGGGGGCCATGGGCACTTACCGTGTTGCCCAGGTTCCTGAGTCCGATGTGGCCAGAGCCCAGAAGGAGGGTGTGATGGGTCTGTGAGAACACAGAGGGACAGAAGTGAGCACAACGTATTGGTCACCCCGAGGGCTCCCAGAGGGCACAGCACCATGCCAGCCCATCCGTCCCAGCACACAAGAGCCAGACCTACCGCCTCCATGGGCAATCCGCCCCAGCCAACCCTCCTGCTTCCTACACATGGGCGGACAGACGGATAGACTCGCTCCTTGCCCCTCATCACCTCAAAGCCAACACCTTCCCGGCTGCACAGTGATCCCTCCCCACCACGACGTGCCAGGCCACCTCATCCAGCCACGACCCGCTGCTGCCAAGGCCGGGTGCCAGGCAAGCCCTGGCGGGCATGCAGGTGGAGGAGCGCAGCTTTACCTCGCTGGTCATGAGCAGCAGCCCCATGACCGCCGTGTGCACCACCGACTCAGAGATATCAGCCCCTTTGCCTTGCAGCTCCCGCTTTGTGGCCAGGGTCCGGTGCAGCTTCCGCGGCAGCTCCACTAGTGTGGCTCCCTGCAGCCCCGGCATGGCTCCAGCACGGCTCCGGCGTGCGGAGGAGCGGGGCAGCCCGAGCACCGGGATGGGGCTGCAGCACTGGGACCACTGGGGCCCTCCCTCTGCCTCTCTAAGCCACAGCTCATTAGCTGATCCGATTTCCCCTGGCTATTCTGGGCCTTGCTCAAGGCTCATCTCAGTAGGATTAATTAGAGGGAGAGCCACCTCGGGGACAGCGGGTGCTTGGAGAACGGCGGAGCAAAGGAAAATACAACCGCCCATGCCCTGCGCCATGCTCACGAGCGAGGGCGGTCCTGGGAGAGCTGCCGCAAAGGGACAGGCCACCGCTCAGCCCTGCACAGCCAGCACCACACAGGGCCACCCCCTGACTCAGGGAGCGGCCACCTCTGCTCCGGCTGGCAGATCTGCTCCATGGGGACAGGGCCAGCTGACCGTCCCACCCCGCGGCAGGCCCAGCCCCAGGATTTCAGGGCACCTAATCCTCATGTGGCCCAGGGCGAGCAGAGGACAGGGCCCAGCTGCCCCGGGGGGCAAAGGACAGTTGAAGAAACGCTCCCACGGGCGCCCAGCTTCGTGTCACCATGCTGGGGTGGCATCTCTCAGGACTCCCGGAGCTGAGGGGTGTCAACCCTTTCGAGATGGGGAGTGTCACAAAGAAGAAGGGCTTGGGGAGAGGCAACAAGACACCTCTGCCTTGCCCCAGTGCCATGCGGCAAGAGATGGGAATGAAGCCACTATCCCATGCCCCAAAAACAGGTGAAACGAGGCCAGAGCACACCCCACCACGTCCAGGATATATCCTGAAGGCTCTTACAGCTGATGCTTTCTCCTCAGGCCTGCCAGGTGCTGGGGCTCTGCTCAGGGGTGGGCTGCTGGGTGCTGAGACGTCCTGGGTGTGGGTGTACTGGGGGTCAGGGGCATGAGTCCTCGGGCAACCCTCAGGCCGGACAGAGAGCAGCGGGGCCACAGGCTTCCCGTCCAGCCCTGGAGCCACGTTGACCCTTCGGAGCGAGGAGCTTCTCTTGAGAGCGAGTGAGCCCACGCTTAGCTGGTGGCTGCAGTCCCTCAGCACCAGGCGGCTCAGCACTGCTGTCCCGTCCCCGGCCCGGCCGCCACCCTGGCCCAGGTCCCCGATGCTGCTGGATTTCGGAGGGCGGGGAGAAGGAGGCGCTGCCGCACATGGCGCCCACCTGCGGAGAGCTGGGCACCCGCACCGCGTGGTCCGCCTTCACGGGCCCTCGGCGGGATGCCGAGCTGCGGAGCACCTCACCGCGTTTCGAGGCCCGGCCCCGCTCGAGCTCCAGCTTCTTCCCCCGGTCATCGAGCGGGCCGGGCCGAGGTGGCAGGAGGCGAAGCTTGGGGGCTGGAGAGAGCCCGTTGGAGATGGTGGAGGAGGCCAAGGCAGCGGCATGGCGCTCCTGGCTCAAGGCTCGGTGTCCGTTGGGCAGCTTGGAGGCAGCCTTGGGCTGGGATGTGACGACCGCTTGGTCTCTGGCCCGGCTGACACGGTGCTCAGAGGCTTGAGGCATCGTGGAGACAATGGAGCGGAGAACCCTGGCAAGAAACATGCCACAGCTAGAGCCAGTGGCGCAGAGATGGATAGGAAGAACCAGCACTGGAGGTTCCAGGGTAGACACCTACCTCTCTCACGCCGCGAGCGTCTCTTCCCCGCCAGCTCCTGGCTCACACCCCTCCGAGGCAACCGATGGGCCGGAGAGTCCTGTCAGCAAGGGCCCTGTGGCACAACAAGAAGTGGTCCAGGTGCGGGTTCCTCCCAAACCACTGGCAGCCAGGAAGGGACGAGGGGACAGCATGGCCTCGGGGACACCCTAGGACATGAGCTCGACTGTGTCTCTGAGCCCCAGCATTTGGCCTGGAAGGGCCCGGGAGAAGGAGTACAGAGGGAATCCCCCATCCCCTCATCCAACAGCCCTCGGGTGCCACCAGGCAGGCAGAGGCTGATGCGGGCTGCCATCTACCCT